TGTCATGACAGGCGTCTTGGAAGGCATCTGGAGCCATCGGAGCGCGTTCCGAAGCCGCCTGCGAACGATCTTGGACGGCGTCCGGCGGTCCGACGAGCCTCCGGGCCCCCCGGGGCCCACATTTGTGGTCGGGGTCCCGGCCCCGGGCCCCCGAACCCGGTGCGCCGTTATATGTATACTACGAAGCAAAGAGGAACCAATACTCAACGTCAGGTCGCAATGGCCGTATATTGCTCCTCGCGAAGCAATCATCAAGGCCTCCCAACGCCTCGAGCTCAACATACGCCCGCTCTGGCCTCCCAGCGGAAAGCACACTCCAAATTAGCATGGCGAAGAACCCAACCACATGCAGCTGAGAGTAACGCAGTTGTGAGCATCGTCGTCGGTGGTGCTCCATATGAGGAAACGACACGTGTGGGAGGGTACCGACATGGGCGGCGGGGACGCAGAGAACGGTGTCACTGGGACCTTCGGTGGAGCTCCCTATGGGACGATGAAACGTGTGAGGGCTGTGCCGACAATGCGTGGCGGGGAAGCGTGCGAACAGTGCCACTGGGACCTTCGGTGGAGCTCCCTTATGAGGCCACGGAACGCGTGAGGGGTGCGCCGAAGAAGGTGGCGGGGGCGCATGCGGACGCCTTCGGTGGAGCTCCCTATGGGGCCACGAAACGTGAGTGGTATGCCGAAAAATGGGTGGAGGTGACGCACGCGGACGGTGTCACTGGGACCGTCGGTGGAGCTCCCTGTGGAGCAACGAAGCGTGTGGGGGTGTGCCGAAATAGACGGCGGGGGCGCATGCGAACGGTGCCACTGGGACCTTCGGTAAAGCTCCACATGGTGCCACGAAACGTGTGAGGGAATGTTCCGAAATGGGCTGCGGGTACGCATGCGGACGGTGTCACTGGGGCCGTCGGTGGAGCTCCCTGTGGGGCCATGAAACGTGCGAAGGGTGTGCCGAAATGGGTGGCGGGGACGCATGCGAACTGCGCCACTGGGACCTTCGTTTGAGCTCCCGATAGGGCCACGAAACATGTCAGGGGTGCGCCGAAATGGGCGGCGGGGACGCATGCGGTGTCACTTGGACCTTCGGTGGAGCACCCTATGGGGCCACGAAACGTGTGAGGGGTATGCCGACAGTGGATGGCGGGGACGCATGCGGACGGTGACACTGGGACCTTCGGTGGAGCTCCCCAAGGGGCCACGGAACCTGTTAGGGGTGCGCCGAAATGGGCGGCGGGGACGCATGCGGACGGTGCCACTGGGACCTTCGGTGGGACTCCCGATAGGGCCACGAAACATGTCAGGGGTGCGCCGAAATGGATGGCGGGGACGCATGCGGACAGTGACTCTGGCACCTTCGGTGGAGCTCCCCAAGTGGCCACGAAACGTGTGAGGGGTGTGCCGAAATGGGTGGCGGGGACGCATGCGGACAGTGCCCATGGGACCTTCGGTGGAGCTCCCCAAGTGGCCACGAAACGTGTGAGGGGTGTGCCGAATGGGTCGCGGGGACGCATGCAGACCCGGTCACTGGGGCCTTCGGTGGAGTAGACTATGGGGCCACGGAACGTGTGAGGGGTGCGCCGAAATGGATGGCGGGGACGCACGCGGATGGTGCCAATGTGACCTTTGGTGGGGCTCCCTATAGGGCCAAGAAACGTGTGAGTGGTGCGCCGAGTTGGGGGTGGAACTGCATGCGGACCCTGCCACTGGGGCCTTCGATGGAGCAACCTATGGGGCCACGAAACGTGTGAGTGGTGCGCCGAAATGGAAGTGGAACTGCATGCGGACCCTGCCTGAGGCCTTCGGTGGAGCACCCTATGGGGCCACGAAACGTGTGAGGGGTGTGCCGAAACAGAAACATGCTTAGAGCAGAAGCAAAGAGGGGGAGGAGGGAGAAGGGCGCGAAGGAGGTGGGAGGGTCGCGGGACGCTCTCTTCAAAACGAAGACCCAACACCACAGGATGGCTGGAATAAACATATCTGCGGTGAGACACACCGTGGTCTCCCTCAAATCACCCTGAAATCCGAGGTTCAGAAAAAATGAGCATCGTGAAAATCACATAAGAAACCCGAGACCTCATCTTTCTGCAAAAACCGGGTGAAAGCGCCTGGTGCTCAAAAAATGCCAAAGCTCGGATGTCAGGGCAACCCACCCCCACCTCACCCACCCTGACGAGCGGCGAATGTATCCATACCCGCACCCTCGCGGTCTGGATTGCGGTGCGCGACCCCAGGAAACGCGGTCGCATGGATACGTTCCGCGCGGGGCATCCGCGAAGCAGAAGCCCCGCAGCCGCGGGATCGTAGCCACAGGGTCGCAGCCCAGGCCGCTAGGCCCGCGAGTCCGCGGATACAGATACGCTTTCCGCCCACGACACCCGCCCGACCCACTACGCGCACCTCAGCTATGCTATGCATGGGTTCCTGCGGGGCGTTCTCACCCACGAGCTACGGTATATCATCCGACGTGCCTGCTGCAATCAGGGCTCCACCAACCGCCAACCTTCACTCCCACCTGGCTTCCTTCTCGCAGCCCCTCTCCCCCCGCTTCACCTCGCTAACCTCACTACACCCCCCTCTTGTGGCGGAGGGACGGGGTGGCGGCATCTTGGGGAGGGACGAACGAGGGGATTCGCCACAGGCCGACATGGCGAGGGTCTGTGCGGCCGTGGCCGAAGGCAACAGCCAGCCACAGCCAACAGCCAACAGCCACCAGCATCTTTGCCTGTCTGCCTCCCCACCTCCTTGCGAGCTTCACCGAGCCGGAGCGAAGCCAGCCTCGCTCCGTAGCAGCAGCTACAGCAGCAGTCGCGACCACCAGCCGCCTGTTAGAACTAACGGTGGGGAGTGGATTAATCGGTCTTGGGGAGGGACGAACGAGGGGACTCGCCACAGGCCCGCATGGCGAGGGCATGTGCGACCGTGGCCGAAGGAAACAGCTAGCCACAGCAAACAGCCAACAGCCAACAACGTATTTTTGCCTGTCTACCTCCCCACCTCCTCGCGTGCACCGAGCCTAAGCGGAGTCAGCTTCGCACCCTAGCAGCAGCCACAGCAGCAAACGCGACCGCTGGTCGTGGTGGCTGGATTATATGATACGGTTGGGGGCACACAAACTACCCAAACCGTGCCACCGCTACGGAGGACAGAAACCCCCTCCACGCACGGAGAAAATCCCCCAAGCGGCCCCCATGTTCACGATCTGGATACCGCACTCCTGCCTGACAGGGGAGGGTACCAGTCGCGGGGATGGGGGACGCTTTGGGGGATTTCCTGTGTGCAGGGGGAGAGGCCTTCCTGCCCGTCCACTTGGCGAGAGTGGCACGGGCTTGCCAACCTCCGCGCCGCCACTCGGTGAAGGCCCAAACCTCCCTCAAGCTCGGCGGAAACCACCAGGGCGGCCCAGAGGTCGACGTACTGGGAACCCTACGCCTGCTTGCAGGCAAGGGATTCCGGGACAGGCCCTTGGGCCTTCCCCTGCCAGCAAGCGGCACCCCAAAGGGGGCCCCGCGGAATCATCTTCCCACAGCTCACGCCGCCACATCTCCGCCAGCTTTTCGCCTCTCCGAAGCCACGAGAGCCAACTACGCCACCACTTGCCAACTCGCCACCCACGCGCCACGCTGCCGCACACTGCCACGCCGCCTTCCACATGTTCCCCTCTCTTGATCCCTTCTCCTAAGATGATGAAATTCATCTCTCCCCTTCCCTCCTCCTTCCTCCACGTCTGTCATCCTACGTTTACCGGATATTCTCCACCGCCGGTGGCAACCGCCACCAGGCTGTCTAGTCTAGTTTGATCACCCCCCCAGGGCCGACCGGCCCGGGGGGGGGGGGCAGGGCGGCAGTCTACGACTTCTCACGCCATCAGGAACCAGGAACCCGGAGGAGGGAGGAGGAGGAGAGAGGAGGAGGAGGAGGAGGAGGAGGAGGAGGAGGAGAAGGAGGAGAAGGAGGAGGAGTGGAGAGACCGAAAGGTACCGATACTGCTACTCCCCAGACCTCTCCCAGGGTGCGTTCTGACGAGGATTTCGAAGCGAATCCAGCGGTGGCGACGAGGGCCTCCCAGGAGGCCCAAAAAAGGGAAAACGGGGCGAAGGGTAGCGCTATGGGTACCAATTCCTCCTCTGAAGGGGGAGGCCTATGGGTTGGCGGGCACGCGCGGCAGCGCAGGGGATACCTTTCGGAACGCGCTCCTGCTGGCCCAGCCCTCTCCGGCGGGGTCGGCGTGGATCGCCACGGCCTCCCCCGCGCTCGGGAGGCACAGGCCTCCGCCGTCGCCGTCGAGGGCACGCAGGAGGGCCCGGAGCTCCTGAGCTGCGTAGGCAGCGTCGCGCTCGGGGCACTGCACGCGGGGGACGTGCGATAGTCGAGGGAAGAGACACGACGAGGGGCAACGACAGGGGGGGATAGGAACATGGCACAGGCGGGGTGGTATCGACCTCGATACATCGCCGAGACGATCGGCGATAGGCCCGAAAGTGAATCTGCACGTTCCTGGGCAGGTTGGGGCTTTCAGGCCCATATCGGCGATCAGTGGGTGATTGGGGGTCGATGCGTCCCCCCCTATGCCTATTCCCCCCTAATTATGCTTGCCCCCGATACGAGGACCATTCGGCCGCGAGCCGAGGGGGGAGCGAGAAGGAGAAGGCCTTCTCAAAAGGCTCGGAAGTCACCGGGCCTTCTAAGAAGTTTTCTGAGCCTTCCCCGAAGACACAGAAAACTTCTCGGAAAGCGCGAGGGCTGCTGAGAAGTCCGGACGCCTTCTGAGAAGGCCTTCTCCTTCTCATAGCCCCCCCTCGCTCGCCGCCGAGAGATTGGACGCGGAAACGTCGGTGCCGATCTTGGTCATCGTCCAATCGTCAGTTCGTGAATCCTCCTCGCAAATCGGCGACGGCCAGCATCGACGATGACCAAGATCGGCGTAGACGAGATCCCGCGACATCTTGGTCAGGGTCATCGTGTTTCTTCCATCGAGATAGCTGGCCTGGACCCTCAGCCACCAGCACATTGTCGAAGTTGCCCTCAAAGGCATCCATGAGCACGTCCCGCTGCGAGTCCTCGCTGACCTCCACCAGGTAGCGGAGCTCGGCACTGGGATCGTCGCTGCGCAGGAGGGAGCCGGGCCTGCCCTGCACGAGCTGGTCGACGCTGCAACCTGGGGCACACTTGCAGTAGCCGCGCTTGTTGTCGCGCCGGACCACCTTCAGCACGCTCTCGCAGAACTCCTCCCGGCTGACGCCGAGCTTGTCGCAGAGCTGACGCAGAGGCCTGAAGTCGTAGCCCCCGAATCTGTTGAACAAATACACCAGCGACTGGTGAGCGACGAAGCCGTCTCCCTCCAGGTGGCCCAGCCGTCGGGACATCTCACCCGCGAGAAGCACGGACATGCCCACGCACTGGCCGTGAAGGCGGAAGGCGTCCTCGTAGTCGATGTTCAGTGCTTCCGCCTTGCGGTACAATCCATTCATCACTGCCTCGATGCCGTGGCCGAGGGTGTGAGCGTACTCGAAGAGCAGCGCGCGGTACTTCTCGAAGGGGTCGGAGTAGGCAAGGAACATGGCCTTGGCGCGGATAATCTCCTCGTTGATGACGGTCAAGAAGGACATGATGCCATCCCTGCTCTCTGCCGAGATGCCGTGGTGAAAGTGCGCTCGGAGCTCGGCCAGCGCCTCCTCGCGCTGGGCGGCGAGCAACGCGAGCTCCGCGCCTTGCTGCATCGAGCGCCTGGCTTCCACAATCTGTCGACCCAGGCTGAGCACCTCGCCCTTGATCTTACGGGAGTCGCGGATAAACGTGATCAGATGCTCAAAGCCTTCGACGCCGCCCATGATACGCGTGAAGTCGCTGGCGAACTCGACACCGCCCAGGATGTTGGAGAAGTTGTTCTGTCCTGAGGTCGACGTGGTGTTGCCGAGCATGCTCATTGTCTTGGTTGCCTCGCCCACGGCCGCGTGCACGCTGTTGGAGCACAGCGTGAGGAACGTCTCGCTGATGCAGAAGACCAGCTGGGGGAGGTAGAAGGTGCCCAGAATGTTCTTGGACAGGATCTGACCGTCCCTCACGAGGCTGAAAGCCTTCTTGGCGGACGTGGTGGCGTCGTTGTAGTGCATCAGAGTCGTGGGCACCTCCACGAAATCTGCTCCGAATCGCCGACCCCGTCGGGGTGCCCGCGCCGAAGATGTCTGCCCCTGCCCCAGAGTCTCCATGGGGACATCTTATTGCTCCCTCGCTTGGAGGGGGGTCGAGCCAGAAGAGAGAGGCAAGCCTGAGCGGGATCGAACCGCGAAATCGGATCTCGAAAATGGATCGGATCGCCGGCGAACCGTCCCGAATCGAGTCGAAATCGGATTGCTGCGCACGGCTCTAGCTGGCCCCCTGGCGGATGCCGGTGAACCGAACCGAATCGAAACGAATCGGGCCCAAACAAGGCCACACACAGGGTACCCCGAGAGGGCTCGGGCCTCCATGGGGGGGCGATAGATAAGGGGGGGGGAGACAGGTGCCCTCTTGGGGCCATAAAGGGCCCCTGTGGGGCCCGAAAGGATCCCTTTGGGGGGCCCTCAAGGGCTTCTTTTCTGCAGCCCTCGCTGCCCCCCCCCTATCGCCCCCCCATTGATTCGCGCCCAAAGAGCCTCGAGCAGGCAGCCGCCGGGACGACCCGTGACGCCTCCAAGGCGGCCCAAGCGCCCCCCCCAGAGGCCCCAGGGGAGGCCTCAGGGGAGGCCTCAGGGGAAGCAGCTGCAAGTGCTCGAGGGCGACGACAGGGTCGACCAGCCCAGGGGGGGAACAATACAGTGAAAACGTATCGCAAGGACGGGTGGTAAGGACGCCCGACCCTGAGAGGCCGAAGCTGGGATTTGTTGGGCGGCGGGCGACCCAAACCCCAGGGACGCAAGGGTACCCCGACCCACAAGGGGCCGCAGATGCAACGGACACAAGGGTACCCTAGAAAAGGCGCGCATCCTTGCTATGCGCGTTGACTGCACGTGAATCAGGAGGCGCCGACAGTCCACGTCTTCGGCGAGTCTTCCAGGCGAATCCGTCGAGTGCCCACCCCTGAGCTATTCGCCTCGGTCGTCCCCTCGAAAATGCTTCCATGTCGTTGGCCTCCCGCCTTTAGCGGGCCAGGGCGGCCACGGGAGGTCTGAAGAGGATCCGAAGGTGGCCCAGGAGTGGCCCAACCACTCCACGGGATGTGCCGAGAAACCCCCATTTAGGTAGAGGGATCTCGTCACGTGATGCGAAGTTCCCCCCTACCCACCGAATTCCCTCCTCTTCCTCCTCTATATCCTCCTTCTCCTACTCCTCCTCAGGTTCGCATCACGTGACGCATCCAAGTCGCCGACCATTGAGGCCCAAGATGGCTGCGGGAGAAGCCCGAGACAGCCCCACGCCGCCAAGACGGCCAGGGGACGGCGCCAAGACGGCCCAGGAGGGGCCTCTGACAGCTCCGGGGGGGCCCAGAAAGCTCCCAAGACCGCCCAAAACGCTTCAAGACGGCCCCACGAAGACCCCCAGACCGAGAGTCACTGAACACACATTCGATTTAGGCCCAAGACGCCTGCAACAGGGTATTGGAGACACACGGGGCCCGAGAGGGCCTGAAGCGTGCACCAAGAAGGCTCAGGACGGTCCCACGAGGGCCCCGACGGCGGCCGAGAGGGCCTCTGGAGAAGCGCGAGACTGCCCTCGACAGCCTCAGATGGCTCCCAAGACGGCACAGACAGCCGTGAGAGCCCAGTGACGGCGAAGAGGGTCCCAAGACGGCCCAAGAGAGCTCCTCAAGAGGACCCCACATAAGCCCCAAGTCGGTACAAGAATGCCCCAAGACGGCTCAAGAGGACCCAATGAGGGCCCAAGGAGGAGGGAGAAAAGGGAGGAGAAGGAAAAGGACGACGACGACGACGACGACGACGACGACGACGACCACGTGTAAGGGGGAAAGACGAAGGAGGAGAGAGGGACGAGGGAAGGAGGAGCAGCAGCAGAAGCGGGGGGAAACCTGTCCTGGCGAGTCTACGCGAAGCGTTGTGAATCATGGCTGCGACAGTCCCCATCGTATTGCCATTCACGCCTCCACCCACGGCGATGACCACCACACGCTTCTCCGCGCCCTTGGCCGCGGCGATCGCCTTCAAGAGCTCTGGGCTGCCGTACGCATCTGGTCTCTTGTTGCTCTCGCCAGACGCGTGAGTGAAGTAATAGCCTGAACAGCCGCATTGTTCCAGGGCGCTGAGGACATCCGACCCGTAGCCGAGCGCGTCGACAGTCTCTCCCACGGCAACGACGGGGAACATCGAGGTGCCGAAATGATTCGCGAGCAACGATGCGAGCCTGTCCACTCCGGCTGCGTACTGGCCCTCGAACGTGACCATCGGCAACTCCAGGGCTCCAATCTTGAACGGAGCCGGCTTCTCCTCGGCGACGACGACTGGCTTCAGCGGGCGCCACGGCGCAAGCGCGCAGCGGAAGGAGCGATCGCCGAGTGGGCCGAACACGGCCGCCACGGGGCAGCGGCCCATGCGCTCGGGTTGCCTGGCGTCGTACTCGAACAAGCCCGACGCTGTCGTCAACCTGCCAAGCGGGCTCACGTAGCCAAGCCTCGGGGTCACGAAGGCCACCTGCACGCCGCGGAACGGCAGCATGGCCAGAATAGTGGCCACAGCGAGCTCACATGTGTCACCCGCGCTTGCGACGAAGACCAGGAGGCTGGACCTGTCGGCGCCGTTGAGGACAAGCTCGGCGGTGATACGGAAGAAGGCCTCGTACTCGCCCACCACGTCGCTGGCCTCAAGCTTCGGCCACTCGTAGGTCCACGCACCCCCCCTGAGCTGGGTGGCGGTCTCGCGCACGATCTCCGCAGTGGCCCGGGCTCGCTCGTCCGCAGCCGACACGACGTGAACGGACGTGAACGCCGAGGAGCCCTTTGGGAGAGGCGTGCGGCTGAGCAGCGTGGCGGCGTCCACTTCCATTCGGCCGTCCTCCCGCTGCTCCAGGCAGAAATACGGCACGACCACGTCGTGCAGCACCCTCTCGGGGACCGTGTGGAACTCCGTGCTCTGCCCTGCCGGGCTTGGGCTGCCCGAGAACGAGGAGCAGAACTTCGCGGCGGGCTTCACGCTTTCGGATCCCACGTACATGGTGCCGCTGCGTGCCGCCTTCCTCCGCTCGGCGGAGCCGGTGTTGTTTCCGAGGCGGGGGGGGTCCGCTGTAGCGCCCGAGCCGGCATCCGACAAGCTGGTCCACGACTTCGAATCCATTGATGCTGCTGCTCCACCGGGATGTGCAATACTCGATGGATGCTGGAAAGCGCAAGTAAAGTGAGCAGTGCAGTGCTGTGCCAAATGCCGAAATAGCTACGGAGGAAAAGGAAGAGGAGGAGGAGGAGGAAGGAGGAGGAGGAGGAGGGATGAGGGAAGGAGGCAGAAGGGAGGAGGGAGGAGGAAGGAGAGAGGAGGGAGGAGGGCGGAAGGAGGAAGGAGGAGGGAGGGAGGAGAAAGGAGGGAAGAGGAGGAGGGAGGAGGGGAAGGAGGGAGGAGGAGGGGGAGGAGGGGGAGGAGGGAGGAGGGAGAGAGAGGAGGGAGGAGGAGGAGGAGGAGGGAGGAGGAGGAGGAGGAGGAGGAGGGAGGAGGAGGAGGAGGGGAGGAGGAGAGGGAGGAAGAGCAGGAGGACCTCCTCCTCCTCCTCCTCCTCCCTCTCCTCCTAGCTCAGCATCTCATCATCATCATCATCATCATCATCATCATCATCATCATCATCATCATCAGCAGTAGCAGCAGCAGCAGCAGCAGCAGCATCAGCATCATCATCATCACCATCAGCAGCATCATCATCATCAGCAGCAGCATCATCATCAGCATCAGCATCATCATCACCATCAGCAGCATCGTCATCATCATCATCATCAGCAGCAGCATCATCATCAGCATCAGCATCATCATCGTAGTCATCATCGTCGTCGTCGTTGGCCGCCGCCGCCGCCGCCCCCCCTTGCACTCCGAGGGGGGCCCCTCCCGGTTCGAACCCCCATCCCTCCCTTGGTCAGGGGGGGGGCCTCACGATTCGCTCCCCCCCCCCCCCGGGGCCCCCACGCTTCGACTCTCCCCCCCCCCCTGCCCAGGTGAGGGGGGGGCACGGTTCGAACCCCTTGCAGTCAGGGGAGAGGGGGCCTCCCCCCCGTTCGAATCCCCCCCATGCCTTGGGCAGGGGAGGGAGCCCACCCCCGGTTCGACCCCCCCCTCTGCAACTCAGTGGGGCCCACCCCCGGTTCGAACCCCCCACCTTGAGGGCCCCCTTGCATCCTAAGGGGGGGGGCCCTCCCCCACTTCGACCCCCCCCTTTGCCAGCGTCCACAGAACGCGCTCTTTCACGTAGAGATGTCCCGTGAGTGTTCCTGCGATGTCATTAATAAATATGCTTGCTGTCTGCTGCGCATGCGTTCTGAATGGATGTTGTCGATGTATGTCCGTCTTGCCTGTTAGTGGTGGACGATATTGGTGGATACTCTGGATGTGTAGACAGCGTGACGTCGTGACGCCTGGACGGCGTCGCTCCATGACGCCTCCCTGGTGGGGTTGCCTGATAGTCACTCATGTTCTATATGCATGTTCAGAGTGTCGTCATCGGACTCTCGGGGATCTCTGGGGTCTGTCGGTAAGGATCACCCAGATTTTTGGGGTTTGGCGGCCGCGGTATGCAAGGCGAGGGTGAGGCGGGACACCGAGGGACTACACGGAGTATTGGGGCCTAACGGCCGCGGTATGCAGGGCGGGGGTGAAGCGGAACACCCAGGGACCACTCAGATTCTCAAGGCCCGGTGGCCGCGGCATTCAGGGCGAGCGAGGCAGGTCGGGAGCTTTTCTTTCTCAGATCGAACAGCCCCACTCTGTCATGTTGGGAACTCTCGGATGCCCGCGCGGATTGTTCGAGTCGGATCTGGACCCCCTCCCCAGCACGCGGAGCGCGCGCCAAGGGCCACACCAGAGGCGCCGCCAATGGGGTGGCCCAGCGGCCACCTACAGAATCCGCGTGGACCTCCGAAAGTAATCTTTTTGCGCTGTGCTTGTCCCTGAAGCATCTTGTCTGCAAGGGTTCCAGATGATGTCTGTACGCTCGGTGCGGGAGCCCGGGCCCCCGAAATCGGCTCCCCATCGTGGCCCCCCTGCGTGGCCCCCCCTTCGTGGTCCCTCCCCCTGGCGTGGACCCCCTTGTCGTGGCCCCCCATGGTGGCCGGACCCCCGTCGCGACCCCCCATGCAGCGTGAACTGTGCGAGGCTGTTCACGGCTGGCGTCGCAAAAATGGCGTGCAACAGCAAATAAGCCTTTCCCCAAAAATAAGCCTTCTTCCGTGCACGCTGATTATCCGTGTGAGGCCATCCCCTGCGAGGGATCCTGCTGTGCACGCCATCCCTCTTCCGAGGATTCCTCCGTGCGCGCAATGCCCAAGGTGGGAATAGCGTATAAGAAGCAGGCCGGCGGCGCCTCATCGCACGCTACGTTTGCAACGCCAGCCGTAGGGCTTCTGTCGCAAGGGTGTCATGCCTTCTTCGAGGGCAGGGGTGGTGGCAGGGCCAGGGCCAGCGCGATAGCGGCATGAACGAGGGGCAGCGGCAGGTGCGGGCGCAGAAAAAGCCGGAGGATCGCGCCGCATCGCAGATGCAATGCGACGTCGGGCTCAAAATCGAGCCCTCGCGGCTCGACCCACCAGCTCCCATTCTGCTTCGACCCCGTCTGGACGGCCTGGACTCGCGGGGCTGTCCCCGCGGCCCCCCCCCTCTTCCAACGAGCGGGCGCCGCCAGAAATGCCCCTGGCCCACGGCGCCCCCCGGATTCTCAAGGAGGCCCCCACGGCCTCCTGAGAGCACCCCTCACGAGGTATAAAGGGCCCCGGGGGCTCCAGAATGGAGAGAAAAGCTGGGGGCACCTTGGGCCAGGGGCACCTCTAGCAACCCCCGAACCGCCTCATCCGCACCCTCGCGTACGCGGCGGCGGCGGCGGGCATATCCTGCGTGGAAAAATCCAGTGCGCGAGAGCCCGCGCCGCCGCGTACGCGGCAGCTGTGGGCCCATCTTGCGTGGAAAAATCCTATGCACGAGAGCCCGCGCAGCCGCGTACGCGGCGTACGAAGTGCACTCCCGCGAGGCTCTCACGAGGGACCGCGGAGCGGGGGAGGCAAGGCAGGAAACGGCGATGGCGACGACAAGGTACGGGAGGGCGCTGCAGGAACATGCGGTGCACGAGGCCGGCCGGGCTACCTGAGGCCTGCGCATCTCGAAGTTGTGCTTGGCGTTCGTCTCGGCAGACACTTGAGCGACGAAAACAAGCGGGTCTTGCGCGAGATGGCACGGCGACCGCTCTCCGCAGCTTGCGCGGGCCGCCAGCGCGGCACGCCACACTGGAGACGAGGGCGCTCACGCGCGGCCTTGCGCGGGCAGCTTGCGCGCGAATGTCGGCGCAGTCGAGCCCGTTTTCTTGCGTCGCTCACTTGATGACAGACGGCAGAATTGATAGAGGTTCATGGGCTCAGGGTCTGCGGTGCACGCACCAGACGAGGTGAACAAGATCGGTCAACATCGAATCGGAAAAACTAACGGGACCGGAACGTGCATCGGACAAGGCCGCATCGGCACGGAGTCCGAATCGGGTCGAGCCGCGGCAGGATGCACACAATCGCCATGCAAGCATCGGGCTGCATGGGTCGCCCGAATACATGAATGGAATTGGATCGAGCTGGCCGTACGGCCGGACCTAGGACAGAAGAACACCCTTCAAGAACATGAGACCCTCCGCTGGCCAAAACACCCCAAAACCATAAGATCACCGAGGGTACACTCCCCCTGGATGTACAAGAACATCCGACAAACACAGACAACATTAGAATATCTTCCCCGAACCGACCTCGATCTTATACCTCGGTCCGACTGCAACTGAATCGAATCGGATCGAGCTGGTCGTAATCGATATCGAATATCATCGATCGGATCAAAGCGGACCCTGGATGGGCCCCAGCCCCCGGATGGGGAGCTGGCCATCGATCGGACGTCCATTCCCCGTGCACGTTTCGACTTCGTGCGTGTATTTTTTTGCAAGATGACCAAAGATGATCCTCGACGGTCCTCGCCGAGGCAAAAATGCACCCGTCCGAGCGATACCAAGGGAGGTGGCGGAGGTACGCACACAGGGCGCGCGCGCACACGCACAGGCGCACACGCATCACCACCGCCGCGGCGGCGAAGCACTTCCAGTCCTCGGCACACACACACACATATATATATATATATACATAGCATCGCGGCCTCGCGCGCAGCGTCGACGCGGAGGTCGAAAACAGCGAACGCGCCCGCGCGTCTAACCGCCCGGGCCCTCGGTGACCACGTAGGGCCACGCAGCAGCCGGCCGCCATGACCATCCGATACACACACATACAAAGGCACATACACTGACACTTTTCGGCGTCGCGGCCACGCACTCAGCGACGCAGCGGAGGCAGTCAGTCACACACACACACACACATGTTTGTGTGTCGGCGGCCAATTGCCAGCAACGTACAGTCGGACCTAGGCCAGAAGAACACCCTTCAAGAACATGAGGTCCTCCGTCTGCCAAAACAAAGGGAGCATCCAAGGATACCTTCCCAGGATGCACAAGAACATCCAACTAACACGAAGAACATCAGAGCACCCTCCCCGAACCAACCTTGATCTTATACCTCGGTCCGACTGTAGGCGGCAACAGTAGGCGCGAAGCAATGGCACGGAGAGAGCGAAGGTGAAGCATGGACCAGGGGAAGCGGCGGCCCGCCACACACACACACACAAGCACACACACACACACGGAGGAACGGACGCACGCACGCACGCACGCGCGCAGGCACACACGCGCACACACACACACGCGCGCACACGCACACACACAAACACACACACAAACACACACACACACACACAAACACACACACACACACACACAAACACACAAACACACACCAGCACCAGCACCGCATTTTACCACTAGACACGATCGGCGGACGGAAGCCCGAACCCATCATACGAGGGCTGGGCCCTGGATCGATGGTGCACGGGTAGAGACGGGCGAGCATGTACGCTGTGCTCCGATCACTCTCCAGCAGCTGGGCACACCGGGCCAATCGCGGACCACGGGAGCACTGTCACCCAACAGACTCAAGGTCGACTCGGATTGAATCAGGATTAAGATTGATGAATGCAGCATCCTCGCTAGATGCATGAGAGGCTAGGACCAT